GACTGAACTTTGGAGGGGATCTTTGAGTAAAAGTTTGAATTCAGTACTTTTACTTGTAACAGAGGATATTTGCATTGTGGTATTTTATCATTTTACTCAAGTAAATGGTCGAATACTTCTTCCACCGCTGACCAAAAGGGTGAAGAGTCTCCACAGACTGACAGGATGGCTAGATTTTTGTAACCACATTCATGTTGTTTCCACGTGTTTAACTCTCCAACAGTAGAGTCACCGCCTGAGGCTCTAATTCAAGTCAGACGTCCCACTCTGATATGTACAAAGACATTAACTTGAGTAATCAGCTCACACAGGAAATATTTCACAGCATAATGTACTGAGCTGACACTGAGAGGTGTAATCATCCTCAGCAATCATAACAACTAACAACAAATAATCCGTCTCTTGTGTCGGTCCAATTATAGTCAAAGGTGTTCAATCTTAAACCAATAAATGTACTTGTCTGCTGGTGAAGTTTACTGCAAAGATTCGTGCCCGCCATTACTGTCCTCGTTCACTTCATCACACAAGCCTATACAACAATCTGAAGCTCAGTTTAACTGCAGTTTTCAGTAATAAATGTAACATATGATGGAGTCTCATCCCCTGAAGTTGAATATCTCTTATGAACTCGATATTTGTAGAAACTTTAATGTTGACAAAACATCGCAGAGTAAAATACAAATATTAATAAAGAACAGGAGGGGAGGATTCCTCGTGGTTTGCAAAAATCAGAAAACAATTATAAGTTACAACAAAAAACATGTTTTTTTAAGTGAATATACAGAGAATATCATCACAACCACTCAACTAGAAGGGAGCAAACGTAAAGGAGACTGGCAGTAATGTAAAACTATTAGTCCAGTACCAATTGTTGAATATAGCCAAATAAAGGATCTAATATCTATAATACAGTATTTACAACATATATATGAAAATTAATAACAATGTTAAGCAAGCAGGACTGAGATTTTCATGTGTTTATGAAACATAAAACGTTAAATTGGAAATGAGACAGTCCGATATCGGTGTGGACACTGACAGAGGAAGTCTGTCTTTACAGATGGAAGGGTGTTAATGTCTTTTTTTCCGTTTTGTTTAGCTCATCGTGATCATCTCATATTTGTCCTTCAGACTGCTGTCCTCGTCGTCCTCGTCTTCCTCCTCCTCCTCTTCCTCATGGGGCTTCTCGGGCGCATCGCGGTGGTGGTGCATCTCGATGAGCAGGTAGTAGATGACGGCTGCCACCACGCCCCCCACCATGGGCCCCGCCACAGGGATCCACCACCAGTGGTCTGCAGTGCTGCAAGCGACAAAGTGTGAAAACACATCGGCAGAAAGAGTTAAATAAATCTCACACGGAGGCCCCTGTAGATCACCGGGGCCACCACCGGATCATTCACAAGCATCGACTGCATCTGTCGAGTGCGTGTGACCTCGTGTAACACTATGGTTCATGTCAGCAGCTCAGGTCCTAATCAGTTAACAGGATGACAATCTACCAACTGCTTATTTATTATTGGATGAAATTAATGTGTTAATAAATATAAGACAAATAGACAAAAGATAGACAAGACAGACAAATGAACAAAACTTTTATGATAATTAAGCAATAACATCAACAAACAACACGCCATTATGGACACAATTTAAAATGTTTCTATAATGTAGCTCGATTACATTTCAATAGGCCACATCTAACATTATATGCATACAATCCAAAGGATAACTAAGAAAGAATTGAGTTAAACTACAGAAATGATATACAGTAGGTTAATAAAATAAAAAAAACATTTGTACATCTGTATGTGTCTATGTACTGGCTGTGAAAACTAATATCCATCTGGAACAACAAAAAAATCTAAATCTAGTTTCCCTGCTTCTCTTCGTATGGCGGTGCTCTACTAAACAAATAAAAACTCAAATAAATGATGGTGTATTTGGACATCGTATTGCTTGTATTTGGTTCAACCCAGGTAGATAAGAGAAATCACACATTAAGCGTAACATAACACCCTGATCTGTCTTCCTCTGCTGCAGTTACCTGAAGACCTCCATCCCCCATCCTGCTGCAGCTGTGAACAGTCGGGGTCCCAGGTCTCTGGCGGGGTTCAGGGGGTAGCCACAGTTCAGTCCCATGGACACACCGATGGCCATGATGATCAGACCAATAGCCAGTGGCTGCACGCCTTTGGGAGCTCCGATGTTTTCATCATCAATAATAGCCAAGATACACAGGACCAGCATACCCGTCCCCACCACCTGCGGGAGTGGAACATTTGTTTGGTAAACTGCAGAGTTCAGGCAACGCAGTACGAGTATGTCGAGTAATTCAGTTTATCTTGACTTAAGAGGTCTCTGCGCTTTTAGCTCCCTACATCTCCGGCACAGGTTTTTTTAACATTACATTTTTGCATACAACTTTACGTTCATGTATATCTAAGTCTGTATATATGTGAATGTCTTTGTGCACATATGTCTTTTAGAATAATGGTATTTTAAATAAAATGTGTCGCGTTAACCTGTATAGTGGCCAGCTGTTTTGATTTGTAAACAAGTTGAATCTAAAGGGTTCAAATCTAGGTTTTAACTGCTATTAATTATTATAAATTATTTAGTATTTAGAGGCAGGGCCCTGTACAGCATTACTGTTACACATTCAAAATGAAACATTAACATGAGCACAATCACGCTGATTAGAGTTTAGTTAGACTTATCTCAGTTGTTCACCTGATGTGGTTTTCAACAGTTTTAAGATGGTAGACGTGTTTTTTTTGGATCGCTGCACCGACTAAAAAGGTGGAAAATGGTGTTAAGTATAGATTTGACCTTCCAGTGAATGCCAGGAAATGCCAGGAAATGGGTCATTCGACCCAAAGCTGAAGCAATAGAGGGGATATTCTCAGACTAAATGGGGCAATCAATTTTGCATTAGCTACATTTGCCAGACACAATTTAAAGGCTGAATGAGAGCGGCGATGCACAATTTATTTGGGAGGTCATTAGGTCACCGTGACTAGAGCTCACCTGATCGATGAAGCCGCCGAGGACAGACAGGTGTCTCGCAGGGTAGGAAGCAAAAATGTGACCTGTCGCGTTGATTCCCGTCACTGACAGAATCCCACTGGTGAAGTCCATGAAAGCATCTGTGAGGAGGACAAATAAATAGTTGTAACCATTAGTATTTAATTACTATGAACATGTAGCTGAAATACTTCTACTGTGACAGTCATGGCCAACTGGTATGATTTAATATGCAAGTGTAAGGGGATAAAGTTCAGGTGTATTCACCATAGTATAATCCAAAGACTGCGGCAGCTCCAGCAAAAGCACCGAGAAACTGAGCAATGACGTAGAAGGGAAACTTCCAAATCTTCAGTTTGCCCAGAATCACCATGGCCAGAGACACAGCGGGGTTCACATGGCCCCCTGGGACGAAAGACAAAGCAGAGAGTGAAAGAGGGGTGCAGTGGGTGGGGGAGTCTGGCATGATATCCTCTCCATCATTAGTGAGGCTGTCACATTTACGAGGGGCAGCAGAAGGAGAGCGGCCCCCGGGGCGGTGCTGGGTTTTGTTATGTATGCTCACAGGCAAAGAGGCAGAATAATGGTCACATATTAGAAATTCAACCAATGAGTAAGAAAAAACAAACAAAAGGGAGCATTGTTCTGTTCTGCTGCGCTCACATCCTGCTAATTTTTATACATTTTTAAAACATCTGTCATCCGTCAGCGATCTGTCTCCATGAATTCTGTTTGGTCCTTCTGTTTGTAAAATTGGAAGTAGCTGCTGATCCAACGAGCCGGGCAGTCTCGTTTGGTGTGATGAACGTAGCCTGTGATCAATGGACTTTGCAGGACATTTAGTGCCCAGGGTTATGCATGACCCTGGAAAGGCTGTGCACCAACACTAACAGATCGATGGTCATACGCTTTCATTGGATCTGGACAGAGAACTGGCACGACCCTGCCTACACTGGCAAATGGCTGGACAGGACGTCATAAAGTTATGTTATTACAAGCTGCAAACCTCATGTTTACATTACAGCACATACAAGAGAACTGTTTCAGGTTGTTTGCATCAACTATAAAGTATTTTAATGGAGTCTGTAGCGCGAAACAATATATTAAATCCAGCAAAGAAGCTAAATATGCAGAAAGAACAATATTATTAAAACTGATATTTATTCCGTTGATTTGACAGGATGCCAATACCCAGCAGAAAGAGTAGAAACTTGATCATAACACCCAATAATTATTATTTATTTAACTGCATCGCACATGCATTAAATTCCAAGTGCCATATCAAAGTTGTGGAGAGTGGTGGCTCATGTGAAATGAGTTCGACTTGAGTGGAAACCACATTTACCTGAGACTCCACCGGCCACGTACGCCGCCATCATCAGTCCCACGGAGAAGCCGATGTGGACGGTGAGAGGCTCACCCAGGCTGTTTCGACTGAGGACGGTCTGAGCGACTGAGCCACAGCCAAACAACTGACAAACCAGAGAGGAGGAGAACAGCAGATGTTCACTAACATCACAGAGGGACATGTAGATTTCTTAGCATAAGCTGGAGCAGCCTGGAACTCAACGAACATGAACACATATACAAGACCTCAGACTAAACAACTTCTAAAGCAAATATATTGTGTAAAGAATTGCACTCAATTGCAATTAACGTGAGAAGAAAACACAATTTTATAATGCAAAATGCTACTTACAACCAAGACAAATGTCCCCAGGAATTCTGCCAGGAATTCCTTGAGTATTCCATGTTTGAGAGCACAGTGTTGCCTCATGCTTCTCTTTTGTTGTATTTCCATGTATAACTGTCCCAATTGCTGTTAAAACTACTAAATTCCCAGCAGTGTGAACCTCTGGAGTTGTCAAACCTCCACCTCTACTCGACCGCAGCCACTCAGAACAGACCATTGATCCACTGGCAAAACCATCATAATCCTCTCATCAGCCTCGGCGACACACACAAAGTTTCATGAGCTGTGATTTATATTTTATTTCCATTTCTCCGTATTGGTTTTTGCCGTCGCAGGACAAACAAGCTGCTTCTTTTAAGAGTTTCTTGAGATGTACAAACTTAATTTTATTTATTCATTAGTTTAATATTCACAGTTGTAAATAAACGCTCACTGGCAAGGAATAACTTATGAACAAATTAATGAATATGAGTACAGGTAAATAAGCCAGTTTATCTGCTGCATTGTAAAACATCAGTTTGTCAGGTATTGTAGTTATACATGCTGCCACAAGAGGTCAGACTTGACAACTGGAAACATCATGAAATCACACCTGAGTTTGTTAAAGGGGTTATGTTGAATTATGATATCAATTTCTTCCCCGTAAGTCCAACATTTCTTAATAAAGTCCAGAAATGACAGCATGTCATGTCAGTCAATCAGATCCAAAGTCATCCACGTCGTTCCCGTCGTCCTCCACGGTCCTATTGAGAGGAGATTTCCTCTTACGCCTGTTAATGCACAGAAGTAAAATGATAGAGTTAAAGAACAACTTGATTTAAAGTAACACCGTATATTAAACGCAGAAACTCAGGGGCAGAAGGTGAGTGGTCACCTCATCTCGTTCCGCAGTGAACTCAGTTGGCTGTTAAGCTGCTCGTTGGCCTCGATCTGCTCATCCATTTCTCTCTGCAGCTTCTTTTTGCCGTGTTCCAGACGCTCTATCTCCTCCTCTGCCTCGTCCATCTGCCTCTTTGCTGTCTTCAGTCTCTGAGTCAGCTGCAGAGTTCACAAAAGGGAGATATGATGAGTCACGAGTCAAGTCTGCGGCTCCTGACTACTTGATAACTTAGTTTTTTTTCTTTGCGGTTAAAGACGTGTCTACCTGGTCTCTCTGGCTCTGCAGGTTGACGTGTTCCTCGTCCTTCTGCATCTTCATCTCCTTCACCTTGCGTTCCAGCTTGCGGTTGGCTTGTTGCAGGCTGTTGTTGTCTCTGAGAGGAAAAGGCACCAAGAGATCACGTCGCTGCTGCAGCTTCCTGTAACTCAACACCTAGTGTGTTTCAGACCGGAGATACTCTCACTCTTACAACCACAGGGAAAGTGATATGAGTGGGTTCACTGCTCGACAGCTACCATCAAGTATCTGATGGAACCATTATCCAAAGTGTTATCCTGCGCTGGTAAATACAAGCTCTGTCCACATTTACTGTTTTGTTAAGAGACATAAAGGTCATTATTTAATGTGCAGGTGATCACCTCTCTTCTCCTTGCAACCTTTCCTCAAGTTCCTGGATGCGACTGTTAAGTTTGGAGACGAGTGAATCCTGGTTGGTCCTCTGCGATCCTTCCAGATGAGTCACTCTGCTCCTCAGGTCTTTATTCTGACAGAGGAAATGAAACAGAAGAATGACATTCATTTGACAAAATTTAAAGGGGGAGTTTTCACTATGGAGCAAAGAACAGGAGGACACAAATGGCGCAATACAAAGTCCAGCCAATGGTTTCACATTATTCCACTCAACTACAAGAAATACAGCATTGTGCCAGAACCTGTGTTTGTTGACAAGAACATTTAGCTGTCGGCAGAGAGTAATGATGCTGGATTATCTGTGCTGTTGAATGTCCTCCAGATCTGATGCCAGATGTCATCTCCCGCTCTACCCAAGATTATGTTTCTCTTATTTTCTGTTTAATTTTGGTGTACTCTCGTTTTAAAAACTTCCTGCCTTTATGTGTTTCCCGCCTGTGCGATTATAAATCGCAAATATATGTACAGTAATGTAAGTACCCCTCTTCCAGCCATTGTGAATGGGGGGGGGGGGGGTTACATCAGGAAGCACATCTGTGCCAAATCAAATATGCATATTATAAACCATAAATAGATTTTTTTTGTCAAAAAACAAAGACTGTATTTTGTTTTCCAGGCGTTGCATGGGGTCAGAGGTCAGTACCTGTCTCTCCAGGCTCATCTTGTCACACTCCAGGTCCTGCCTGACTGCTTTTTCCTGCATCAGCTCACTCCTCATCTGATCCATCTGTCACAGAGAGTAGGAAAACAGTTTACCTTTCAGCAGTGGTGAAATATAACATTTAAAAAAGTACTGTGCTGAAGTACAATTTTGAACTGTCCCTTTAAAGATTAGAACTGTGTTTCCAAGCCTTTATGTCTTGTGACCTTGTCATAGTATTGTCTGTAGCTTGTTTCCTGTTTCATTTTGATAGTGTCATGTCTTGTTCTACTTCCTTCCTTTGTTTTATTCCCGCCTGTTTATTATCTCACCTGTGTTTCATTAGTTAATTAGTCCCTTGTGTATTTAGTCTGTGTGGTTTCCCTCTTCTGTTACCAGTCTGTTTTGAATGCAAGCTGTAAGTATAATTCATTTTTTGTCATAAACTAATTCAATGAAACTCTCCCTGCTGCCTCCTCATCTCTTCATTTGAGTCTAAACCTCTTACTCCCAGAGACATTTACCCTCTCAACTTCTCACTGAGCTTCATTTTAATAAGTGTTTGTCACTCAAAGAGGTTAAATTATCCCATCTTTCATAAATATCAACATAATTAGATTATTTATGCCAATGTCTAACCACAGAGCTAAATATGGGCTTGAACTCTATGCGTACTGTTTTCCCTATTGACTGAAAACACAACCTCATTAAAAAAAACAGCACCCGTTGACGGGCACTTTCAGGTTAAATTAAAAGTGTTCAGCTTAACTCCTAAAACCAGAGGAAATGCTGTCTGGTCTGAGCAGCCATATCTGATCTAAAGGCTTCTTTCCTCTCTAATAACATCCAGAGGCCCAGTGAAGGGAGTGTGAAAAGCTGCTCACAATAGTTTGCTGTTTTTTTTGTCTTTGCACTGTGTTTTGTGTCAATTAGTCTGCACCACATTGCTCCCATGAATGGTGGCCTACTTCACAGGCAAACTGAGGACGTGAGGCTCTTGTGACGCCATCAGAGAGGAAGAAACATATATCAAGTAAGTGCGGTTCAGTCTTGTTTCAGGGCTGTTACAAAGTGAGCGTTCTGAAATCTGAGTACTCTGCCCAAAATCTGTTTATAGTAGGAACAGATGTAGGGCTGGGTCTTCAAACTGAACAGTTGGGGGAATTATGATTGTTAGCAAATGCTGTAAAAGAGGGAGGGAGTGAACCTGCCTGCTCTTTGGTTTTGTCTAATCGTTCCATCAGGCGGTCAGCACTGCTGCGCTCATCATTAAGATCCTCCTCTAGTTGGCTGATGCGTCCCTGAGAGAAGAGGAACACATGAAAAATGTGTCATACCATTATCAAGTTAATATACTGCATTACGCTATAAAGGGGGGGAAGAGTGAAAGACTATTCCTGAGAACACCCAGACAGGTCTGATAACTTTGAACAGTAAACATGAGCTTCCTCGGTCTATAGGCAGTGTCAACAGTGATCATGCTGGTGTCGCCGTGTCATGTTTTGTCATCAGCAAGAGAAACAGTGCTGAGCTGTGAGATTTTTGTTGCTGTGGCTCTTTTCAGCGCCCTTATAGTTCACAGGAAAAAGTGAGTGCAAATACTGGCAGCTGAACCGACTCAAAGCATAATGATGAACTGAAGCATGTTGGACTGAGTGCTCTGAGAGTACAGTTCCTAATGGACAGCTCCAGATGATCATCAGTTTAGAATTGTAGCTTTTTAGCAAACATATATACAGACTATTATTATGCCAGGAAACTTTGCTGTTATTACCTAAACTTATTATAACTCCACTTTGGGAAGATTCGGATCTAAAGGACGAGATCTACTGTGAACTCAGAGATATTTTATTTCATTTGCACAAGTTGCACAAGAACCTGTCAGATTCAGATTGTTTCCACCTTGTGAGTCTGTGTGTGTCTTCACGGCATAATGTCCTGGAGACACTGGGACTACCACAGAAGCAGTTTTGAGTACTTTACTAGGTGTTTATATGTCTCTGGACAGATTTTGTCACAGCGATAGTGATTTGGCATTGTGACTGGTGTGATCCCACCTCAAGATGGCCTCTAGTTATTCTATTTATTCCTCTTTTCATTCATAAACAACAAATGATAAGTGTTCATGTCGATGGAGATGTATCTTAATTTCTACATCCTGCACTGGGACAAAGTATACCTATCATTCGGATGCCTGTTTATGTTCTGACCGCATCTTAAAGAGGCACTCCGCTGATTATACCTTGTATTCAGTTTACTAGTCGTGGTTATTATTCAGGCTGTGAAAATAGTTGTGTAGTGTCCTCTGTGGCTTTGGAGGGAAGTCTGAGAGGTCAGCTTGGACTTGAATACCACAGATTTATAACAAAAACCTTGCATTGCAAAGTGGGGACGGCCAGTCAGAGAAGGTCTAATGAAAGATGAAATTTATGTCCCAGTGTTTTGACCCATACTATGAACTTAAAGTCTTCTTTTTTTTAATCTGTCTCTTGCGAGTCCCCCGACATTGTGGAAGTGCAATACTAAATCGCTGGAGTACACCTTACATTTCCTAAGTTGCGTAGACGTTTACCTCCAAGAGTTTGACCTGGCGCTCTCGCTCTCCCACCGTGGCTGCGTTCTTCTCCTCCAGCTCCTCCACCCTCTGCTCCAGCTGCCGGCCCCTCAGCTGGGCCTCCTGCTGCTCCCTGCGACACCGCCGCAGATCCTCCTCCAGAGGAAGCAGCTGAACTCATAACAGACCACAGAAGAAACACACACTGTAAGATAAGGTAACATGCAGCATCTGCCATTAGGTAATGGTCCATCAGTCTCACATGTGTGCAGGAATGCAGAGTTATTCAAGTCTTGTAACACATCTGTGACTACTTTTCTATCTCTGTTTAAACTCACACAAAAACTTGTTTTAAGATCCATTAAGAAGAAGAAGAAAAACAAACTCCTTTCCATCCTAGTGTTGACATTTTATTTTATTGGTAACTCAGGCAGTTGAAGCCACATGCTGGTGATTCAGAGAGACAATGAGGACCACACCTCTTCCTGAAGTTTTTTGGCAGCCTGACGGGATTTCTCCAGCTCTGCTCCCTTTTCCTGCAGCTGTCTCCGCAGCTCGTCCAACTCCCTCTGACTCTTCTCTCTGGCCTCATCAACCTGGTCCTGAAGTACTTCTGTAGACGCCTCGCACTCGTCCATAATGGTGTTCATCTGAGATTAACAAAGGGTTTCTCCAGTGAGATAAGAGGACCTCTTTGGGTACATGGACAAGACTATCCGAGCACAAGAAATATCACCTGTTTCGGCTGATCTCATGTGGTTTATGGGGTTGAGATGACAGATTAAATAAAAGTCTAATAAATAGTCCAGGTACACCTCTCACCTTCCTCTGCAGTTGCTCCACATTCCTGTCCTGCAGCCTCCTCTCATCCTCCAGCTCAGTTTTTGTCTTCCACAGCTCCTCTATTTGTTTCCTCTCCTCCTTGAGTTTCTCCTTCAGGTCCCTGTGCTCATGATTTAGCTTGGTCAGCTTACTCTGGGAAAGAAAACACAAAAGAAAATGGCGACAACTGTGAGCTTCTAAGCGTGGCTAAAAAAAGGCAGTTCATGGTGTAGAAACGTGCGAGGAGACGGGATGGCATGCAACAAAGTAAAAAGCAGTTCTATGTGATGCATCTTAGACCACGAGGACACCACCAAGCGTTTTCCTTAAAGCTAACAGCAAACTGGCGTTACCTGCACGTCCTCCAAGCGAGTGAGCAGCAAGTGGTTAGACTGACACATCTCCTCCTCATTCCCCCGAACCTCCGTCAGCGCTTCCTCAACCTGCTGCTTTTCCCTCTGGAGAATAAGGAAAACAATGGCATATCCAAAGAAAATGGCAGAATAGAAGAAGAGAACATCTATAAACAAAGTTAAGTAAATCAGTTGTCTCACCTCCAGCTGCCTTGCTCTCTGCTCCAGCAGTCTCTCTGTGGCGTTAGACTCCTGAGCTGTCAGACTCAGCTGATCCACCTTGTTGTGCAGCTCCTGCACCTTTCCTCTCAGCTGATCTCTGTCCTGGCTCAATTCCTTCAACTGCACCTGGGCTGTGCCTCTCTCCTCCTCTGCTTCGGCATTGTCTCGACCCAGCAGAGCACTGCACTGTGATTCAGGACGGAGGAGTCAACGATGAAAACATGTTTCAACTTTTGGAAATAAAGAGAGACAGTAGAGATCCATGTCTTCACTGTTACCTCTTTAGCCATCTCTAAATCCCTGAGCAGCTTTTCAAGCGCATTTTCATATTCATCCTTCAGAGCGCCTATGTATGCATCGTGAGACTCCACCTCCTCTTTGAGCGCCCCCTTCAGGGCACTGAGCTCCCTCTCCCTGTGGTGCAGCACCTCCTCCTGCTCCTCCTTCACCTGTAGCATCTCCTGAAAGTCCACACGCAGCTGCGCCATATCCTGACAGACATCCATTAAGACACTACGTCACTACCTTGAGTCCCGTGAGGGAGCTTTACAGCTGCTGTTGATTTGTGTGCCTTGTTCATGTGGTTTAATTTACCTCCAGAAGGACTTCTTTATCTGCATTAATCACCTCCACCTTCTTGGCTTGGTCCAGCTCGTCGTGCATCTCAGAGAGCTGCTGCTGAAGGTCTTTCATCTCCGTCTTAGATCTCTCTCTCTCTGCCTTCATCTGGGCCAGCCTTACAACGCGCACAAATATGCACGAAAGGCAGAAATATGACAGATATATTTTAGATCAAGAAAAGAAGGCCGCTTCCCATGCTTCAAAGTTTTAGAAAGGTGCTCAGTAGGACTAGATAACAAAAAAGTACATCTGCACACTTAATCCAAATGGTATTTGACCCTGCTTCCAGTTAAATGACCTCCATCAGATCATACATCAGTTCACTTGAATAAACTTCAAGTATTAGCAGAAGCTGAGTAAAAGAAAGTAGAACATAGTATTGAGTTATTATATTTAGTTCTGCATTTAAAAACGTTTTCATTTGCTATCCCTGGAAATAATCTAACTCTGTTTGATACACTTTGTTTTGCGACACTAGAATCATTTCAAGGAATAGTTCAACGTTACGAGGTAAACATTCATTCGCTTTCTTACCGCAAGTTAGATGACCGCCACTCTCACATCTGCACGCTAAATATGAAGCTGATTAGCTTAGCTTAGCATAAAGGCTGGATTCAGGGGGAAACCGCAAGCTAACGATAACAAAATCCACCTACCAGTAGCATCTAAAGCGCAATTGTTTACACATGTGCTGGACTAGGCCGGGTGCAGTGACTTCCTGAAGCCAAACAATCGTTAGCCATGACAGGCTAGTCTTTATTGGATGACATTTTGGGGGATTCAAATTAGACACCTTTCTTTTTGGAAGCCCTCATTAAGCTGATAAGACTTGCATATTTTTACATGGCAGATTCATTGTAAACTTTGTGAACGACCCGAAGGTCAAATCCTTACTCCTGTTTGGTGGACTGAAGTTGGGCCTCGATCTCAGCCAGTCTGCCGCTGAGTTTGAAAAGCTGCTCCTGACTGTTGGCCAACTCTTCCTGAAGTTTCTTCTTCTCTGTCCTGGCCTTTTCACAAGCCTTGGCTAGAGTCTTTTCATTCTGCACAACCAAAACAACATCATCAGTCACTGGAATAGTGAGTGTTTCAGAGATGAATCGGCAGCATGGGACTGCACTGACCTTAATCTCTGTTTCCATTTGTTGCTTTAATTCAGACACTTCCCTCTCCAGCGCTGCCTGTTTGTGCTGCAAAAGCTTCACCTCGGCTGCATAATCCTGCATGTGTGAAAAAGGAGACGCCCAAAATCACCGTTAGTTTCAGACAAAGACGTTAAATCAGGCTGACTGGCAAACATCTCATCCCAACACACACTTTCTCCTCCTCCACATTTTCAGCAGCTTTCCACTTGACCTTTTCAAGCAGCAGGGAGACTTTCTTCTGAGTGGTGGAGTCATCGTCAGCCGTCCTGAGAAGCAAGAAAAATATTTCACAAACACTCTAACAGTACTGACATGGTGTAATGATAACATCTGATTTAGTCAGTTGCTATTCAAAGACATGGCGGTTCCGATGTCTCGGTGGCGTGACCCGCCATAGGTAGCGGTTGTTTTTTTTAAATAATAGCTCTGCTTCAGCACATATTTATCAAAAAGCCGCTGATGGATCATAAAAACTTTCCATGTGAAGAAGTTATTTTATCAGTGGAAACAAGTACATGCTCTGCATTCCTGACTGCTGCGTGAGCACACACAGCTGGAGCAGAGCCCCCTCATCTGACTGCACTACATGATCACAACTACAAGATAATCACCATGAAACACTTGTTTAATGGAACTTGCTTTACGTTGATTGGAAACAGATTCATACACTCTTTTATTTGTACAATAATATGAAGCTGCAGCCAGTTAGCGTTGCTTAGCACAAAGACTGGACACAGGGGGAAACAGCTACAACAATCTGCCTTCCAGCACATCTAAAGCTCACTAATTACCACGTTATATCTTTATTTGACTGCTGATGGTTACTGCGCCCGGCCACGAAATAGTTCAGAACATAACTCCTGTTTTTTTTGTCTGTATAAACAAAGAAAATTGAACATGTTAATTAGTGAGCTTTGGAGGTGCTGGTACGTTGATCTTGAAACCATAGTCTTTTTAAAAATAATTCTATTTAACTGATGTTATTTAGCTTTTTGTTAAATCCTGCACTAATGGATTGCTTTGCCTTGTGTAAACCACTTTGAATTGTCTCCGTTTAAAAGGTGCAAAACAAATAAAGTTGCTTTGCTCTTATACTAATCTAGCTGCAGCCTCTTGGCAAGAAAGCAACCAACCATTTTTCCACCTTCCTTTAACTAAATGAACTCAGGACTGAGGGGCACTTACCCATCCTTGAGGTAAGTGAACAGCATTTGTTTTTCTGTGTCTTCAGGTGGGTCGACTGAGAGTTCTTGCTGTCCTTTCAGAAGATCAGGAGTCACCTGGTTAGAAGATATACAGCAAATAAATACACACTTTTAAATGGCAACTGTGCCTTGGCACACATCTCTTTTACCTGTGTATCTCTTTCATCGGATTCATCAGTCTGGTCACTAAATGACCTGGACATGGAGGGTTTCTCTGCTCTGTGAAGTAATTTTGCAGCATGTGGAGACATCGTGTCGTTTCCACGATGCCCTTTAAGCAGTGGGCTGGGCTTGTTCTCCTCCCTTGGCAAAGGGGCTTCGCCGGCGAGGAGTCGAGCCCTGGCTGATCCCGGAGGGTATATCCCACCTGGGGTCTCGCCCCTGACGCCCTTCAGAGACGAGGCTCTGCTGGAGGAAGAGGACAAGGACGAGGAGTCATAGTTTCGACTGCTGTCCACACTGCGTGACCTTCGACACTGCTCTGGTTGCAACCTGTTCCTTGGGCCTCCCCTTCCCCTCCGCTGGCTGCTGTTGAACTGGCTTATTAGATTCCCAACAGATATGAAGGACTCTGTGTCCACTGAGTTTGGGGACCTTGCAGGGACTTGTCCACCTGAATAAGGGGTCTTGTTCAAGGCCACCTCACTTTGGTCTCCCACTGGGCCCTCAGCAGGCAGAGGGATCCTGGGTTTGTTCGCATTAGCAGTCTCAGGATGAACGCCGGCGCTTAGCTGTCCAGGTCGAGCAACTGAAGCTGTGGAAGGAAGGACTAAGTTCATGTTATTACTTTCAGGGTCATAAGGTCTCAGAATCTCTGGGTGTTTCTGATAATGTAACATGGAGGAGGTAGCAGTCCTCTGTGACTCATAGGGAGAGGGTCTTTCCTCCACAGACCTCCTCACCATGCCAGGATTGTACCCCACCTGGTGAGTGATAACTGAGACATCCCGGTGGATCTCTTGACCAGAACTGTTCAGAACCACGTAGGGTTGGCCTTTGATCCCTTGGATCTGCACCCTGACACCAAACATGTTGTCCTGGCTGCCTCTGGGACCGTGTTGCTGCGTGTAGCTCCTCTGCATCCTGACATCCGGAGAGCCGCTCAGCCTGTGAGACTCCATCGTGACTCTGCTGGATTAACAGATGAACTGGTGAGAAAAAACAAACCGGCATGTTAAAAATGACACTGAAGGAAATTGGAGAATGATGCATCAGGTTGGTCAGGTGGAGGCTGGTGTTTACACAACATTGAAGCAGGGTCAGAGCCATGGGACACAATGACAGACATCGAGGGAGCTCCTCGCACAGCTGCACTCAGCCGATATAAAGAGAATAAATGGACACTGACGAGAGCCAGATATTGCTGTGCAATGAAAACAGCTCCCTCTGTGTGCTCATGACAGTGTACTATTGTACGACTGCATGACGACTACAACTGGCCGGGGTCTCCGAGGTGTCGTCACCCACTTCATGGTATGACACTCGAGGAAAATGTTTGTCAACAAATATGTTACTGTGTGGCTGAAACACAAGAACACAGGAGGCGTTGTGCAGCGGACAAAACGGTTTCTTAAAAAATATACAAGTACTCCTACTTTTTAATAAGACACCCTTTACAAAGGGTTCTGTGACTGCTTTAATTATGTTAATACTTGATTGACGAATGCTTTATAGGTTAGTTGTAAGCCATTAACAAGAAAACGTTTTGGGCTGCCAGACTGTGCTAAATCTTCCTCCAGCATGACACTCGCTTTGTCCAAACCATTGAATTCTTCTGAACCAAAAGGCCTGTTTGACCTCAGTTTAAAGGTGCTATGTACAAGTTTGGGATCATTTAGATTGCCTCTCAACGGCTCTCAACATGGCGGCGGCTCAGCCGGCGGCTCACAGGTAATGGTGCTAACTGTGCAAACTACGCCAAAAGTGCTGCCAGAGCTGAGAGGGTGGGCACTCGATTCCACGACGATGCTCACTAGTGGGGCACGCTCAAATGCACGAACATGCACTAAAACTTTCTTGACAGCGGGCCGGCTATGTCGAGAAAAGACCGAAGAAGCTCCGATTACAACAGAGAGAAAGACACCAGGAGACATTATCACCTATAGCTTTACTTAAAGTTGTTTGCTTAACACTCTGAATATCTAGTATAACACCTTTAAAAGCTGAAAGGACAAAGTGTGTGGATTCTTTACAACCTGCCAACCCAAATGTTCTCAAATAGCTTATAACTGTTCCATGAAACATTTGAAAAGTATGTAAAGTCTATTAATAGCACCATTAACTACCTTTTTATAAAGTGTCCTTTAGTAAAAAAGAAAAGAAAAAGAGGAACACATTTGTCTAAATTAAGTTCCTGTGCATTTTGTCCATTATTTTAAAGGGATTTTCTTTTGCATCACACGTTTTCAGCTTCAAAGTTTCACTGTTCGTGAGTCGGTTAACGTTAGACTGTGAGCCAGTCACTGTTACTGCAGATCTGCGTTCATCCGGTTTTAGGTGGTGAATTTCAATTCACACTTTTAGCAGCAACGTTAAACTATAAGTCCAACGTGACAGTTTGTGAAAAAACATACAACGTGAACCTACAGTCACATTCAGTTGCGTTACATCGAGGAAACGTCAATCAAAAAGTCTATCACAACTTGAGCTTTACACTGACAGATGGAAAAACAGCAGCAACCAACATTATTATGATGACCCTAAACTCACCACTGAGCCCCGCAGAGACGCTGCAAGACGCCGTAGAAGCAATATCGCGTTGTTTTAAGAGAACGTGCGTTATAAAGGCATCGATCTGAGCTGAAACTCACCCGCTGAGTCTTGAGTGCTGGACAGAGTCCTCCTCCTCCTCCTCCTCCTCCTCCTGTTCCTCTCACACTGTCCTGCCTCCGCCCGTGTCCCGCTCTGAGAGGCGTTCACTGCCTGCTCTGTGTCAGATATTCAATCCATGGGATTGCTGATTCAAAGTGCTTATACGACGAAATGTATTAATTTACAAGAAACTAATATTGATTAGAACCAAAGGACAATTTATCACACTGTACTATTGTGATCATTATCCACTGAATGGTTTGAAGTGGGAAATATGACTAACGAAGACTGTTAAAGGTTTAAAGTTCCCCATAACATTTTAAGGACACCTGGAGAGACGTATGCAGATGTTTGTCGGGAACCACTTAGGGTCGGGAACCACTGGATTAAACTAACAAACTGTAACGTAGCTAAAACTAGCTGCACCTGGACCAGCTACAATAGTTAAATAACAATTTAATAATGAGTACAACCATCAAATAATATAATATCTCGTTATTGAGTCCTTTCACATTTTATACTTTAAGTGCATTTGGCAGATAATATTTATGTTCTTTTCTTTACACTTTTGAATGCACTTGTAATGTTGTTTGTTGTATTGGTACTTTCACCTAAATTAAGGTTTTGAGTACTACACTGTACTGTAGTGTATATACAATAGGTGTGTGATTTACCTTTCTATAAAACATAGAACATACAGACTCAAACTATTTGAAAGACATTTATTGCTACATTATCATTTCGACACATGCCTGTAGGCTACTTCAAACTGTACACACACTGTAGATGTTATGATAGGAGTATTACAGATTAGATTTGATAATTATTTATTATTTGTTCAGCAGAGTGATAAGCAAACAAGACATCAATTATTCTGTAATACTGTATTGCTCAGAGCATGACATGTGGCTACATCTAGTAAAACTGCACACAAATGTTTTTTCTGTGTAAAAGTAAATAGAGAAATTATGAAAATCACAATATTTGTATAAAAGATAAGTTACATAACTTAGAAAAAAATGTAATGTTCTATGAAAAACTTAAACATGCAAAGAGCTTCGACTACATCTGAAGAACAATAATTACACTGAGAAGAGGATGGATTCTGTCCACCAGTGTATCATTAAGTGTAATCCTGTTAACAGTGCTATAACACAAATTTGTAACAAACATACAGATAACAGATGATGCCCATGTGTTAAAAGAACATTCTCGGAGATCTGTTCATTCACAGAATGGTCAAACTCCTGCAATACTCACACAAACACAAAAGCTCACACACTTACTCACTCACACACACACACACACACACACACACATCACAGGACAAATGAAATCCGTTGTCTGAACACAGATGTGGGAATGTCGGTCCTCTGAGATCGGTGGAAATCACGAGTGTACGTGGTGAATAGTGATACGCCGTAAAAATCAGTCCGAAAGTTATCCGTCTCTGCCAAAAAATCAAAACTGCAGATGAACCCTCGTCACTACTGGGTTTCATCCTTTCAGATATATTGAAAACAGACAGATAATCAATAAATATACAAAATATGTACAAAACATCTGCAGCTTACAATGCATTTGTCTGTTACAAGTAAAGTTTAGGCACAAAGTTAGACTGATGTTTGTTTAACGGAGAGAGGTTGACCTCCGAATTCAGAAGAAATGCTGGACCTCCAAAACAGCTGGATGTTTCCTGGGATGCTCTCCACTCAACATCTGAGACACAGAGATAATGACAAAATTAGACCTTTTATACAAACATTATTAATGTTGAGTAGTTCTTTCCAAATATGGTTTGGCAGCATTAACATTTGGTCAACAACAATATTAAAAACATATAACATGCATGCCTCATTTTGGAAAAGGATGAAAGTTTATCACAGATGTATGAATGTATACGTGTAACTGTGTAAGTTGATGTTATCTACTTTATGCTGGATTTGATGCAGTTGTTCAGATCAATAATCAGAGGTGGCCCATGGGGTTTGCTGCGACTGTCACACTGGGATTGAAAGCGAGATGCATGGACTGTGGATCGGTCATGAGTGCAGACGCCTTCTCTTCCTCTCTCCTCCGCAGACACGCTGCCTTCGGGTTCAGGTTCCTCTCTGTGGGATTCAACAGACAAGGAGTTAGCGTTTGAATACATTTTAAAAACAGAAGCTGAAGATGCGTGGTAGTGCCTGGATATTATTCATTTTCATCCTCTCTGTAGTGCAAATTCAGGAATTTTTGCTCTGGGGAAACTGTTGAAAAATACTTTGATGAATTCTGCATTGGCTGTTGACCTTTCAGTCATTATAGCTCTCAGTGCATCACCAATTATTGTTGTGACAAACTGCTGTCATGGTGGCTTTAAACCTGCTGTATTCAATATTTGTAAAGATCAAGTTGATTACATGTGTTGTAAAATATCTCTCAGTGAGAAACCCCCAGACAATGTTCACCAGACTGCTCTTCTTCTACCGTCATGTGGAGCGTTTTAGCATCTTTCAGCTCATTGTTTCTGATCTTGTAATGTTTTGGTTCATTCTCTCAGCTCTCATCAGTGTAGCTTTTGGCCGTTGTTGGTGAAAAGGCCGCTGCACACTACCTGGCCAGCACCAAAAAATAGCTGGTGAACATAGTGGAGTATTAAGCTGCCAAAGATATTTCCCTCAATAGTTGGTGGACACTGAAACAGAGCTAAACAGAGAGTGAGAATAAATTCTATGAAATATTACTCCAGCATAGTATTACAAAAGGTTTCAAGATTAGAGATGCTGTTTACACTAAATTCCTTGATCTATGTTTGTTCTGTAACTTAAGAATAGTAACGATTTAGGTGGCAGAAGTGAAAATGAGTCTCAATCAATTAGTAATTAGTTGTGTTGTGCTTTCAGAATGATGAAAACAGATGGAGAACAATTAGATACAAAATGGAAAACTATCGCAAACTATCATGTTTTTCCCAAATTAAGGACAGATTTTTAGGCATTCTTAGGCTTGAAAAATAGCGCACACAAAAAATATCCCTGGAGCAGAGGGTTGATAAGATTAATCAGAAATATGACCCCAAATAAATGATAATGATGCCCAATGTCTGCTAATTGTATAAAAGGTCAACTGAATTGACCTAAATGTCTGGATAAACTGCAGCTAAAACATGTTTAGAGTCTCTAACCAGCTGGTTAATCTGCTACACTGACTCCCAACCCCTTGTTGTAGGTTTCTATCTTATTGTCTCACTCTCCTTTACTCATTTGACTTTACAGAGACACAAGGCCCCATCTGAAGAAACCACTGACCTCTGACTTGTTGTTCCAGGTTGAGGATCACTGACACGGCCTGGTGCAGCACCAGCAGCTTGGTCTGGGGCTTCTCACTCTTCAGGTGCACCTCACACATGTGCCCCAGCTCCTTGAAGGCCTCGTTGATGTCCCGCACACGCAGACGTTCACGGGAGTTGTTGGCCATCCTCCTGCCGCGCTCACGCACGAGCTTCTGCTCCGGACTCAGATCTTCATCCCCATCCTCGTGGATACTATAACACCAACGAGACATACATGAGAAGACGCTGGTAAGGATGCTCATTAATCTATTGTATGATTATTTTAAACATTCATGTTCTTAAAGTTGATATTCAAGCTTAAGTGGATCTAAGAGCTTCAGTGGGTCACACATAAGAACAGTTATACTGTGGATCTCTCTGCCCTCTGCTGGTCACTGAGCTAACCTCATGTTGTTGAGTCACCTAAGGTTATCTGATATATCTTCGTTTGTTCTGTGAAAAGGGCTTATATGTATTGACAATCTCATGTGATCAGGCGAATAATTAATTTACAAGAGTGTTTCTTTTTGAAAATCATTTTTTAAGATGATCCTTTCTCAGTCCATAACCACTGATGGTCAAGAGATGCACTCCCTTTTTAAAGAAATCGTTTTATTTTCAATCATTGTCTCATTGCTGGAGGATTGTCCCCATATGTCGACATCGATTTGCCTCAACTAGATAATAGATATAAATAAAAAGAAAAGATGTGCTCAGGCATCAGAGCTGATGTCCTGAAGTGACCTCTGAAACTCCAGACAACACTCAAATTAAACTGTGAGGCTCTTAAGATGTTCAATCTGGTTTCAAATCACTGGCTCATTTAAAATCGAATAAAGTGACATTCTCCGTCACCAATGATCATGAAACGATCTGATGACAAAAATAGAGCTGGAACAATTGTTGATTAATGAGCAACAGAATATTAATGGGCAACTCATTTTGATACAGAATTAATTGTTTAGTTAATTAATTATTAATAATAATAATAATAATAATAAAAAAATCTTTGTAAGGATTTGCTGATTTTCTTAGTTTTATATATTTGTAATTGAATGAATATATTTTTTCGGGTTTGAGACTGTTGGTCTGACAAAACAAGCAATGTGTTTACTCTTGAAGTTGAGCTTGTAAGCATTTCTTTTCTCCATTTAATAGTCTAAATAATTAATTAGAAAAAGCCCTTGTTACAATTATTAGTTAGTTCCACTTAGTCGGTACTAAGGGCTGTAACTCAGCCTGTTTTCTATTTTAGTCTTAATGGCTACCATGGACAGTGGTAGGATACTAAAAATATAACCCCACTACCAAGAATACACCTTCCTAACATTGATGTCTCTGCCGTTTCCTGGCAGCTCCTCTTTTTTCCCTCATTTAATTGATTGTAACATGAAGAAGAAAGATGAGGCAGAACTAAATAGGCTCTCCTGGACACAGCTGCCCTTCACATCAGGGGGTCCGACAGCGTTTTAAGTTGGTGAAATAAGACATCTCTAATTCTTACCTTTTTACTACTTTACTGTCACAAAATACTTTCTTTCTCAATTCATTTTTTTGCCAT